AATGTTCGTGATGTGCCAGACGCTAACTGAGAAAACCAAAAATCTGCCAGGATGAAATGTAATCTCATTTTAGGAAATGTTGAAATCATTCCTGCAGAAGGTTAAAAAAATAATAATCAGGCTGAGTCAGATACACAGCATGGAAAATTTCATCCCAAATGTTTATAGTTTAGCAATTGAAAGCAAGGCCTTATAATGCCGTGTTGGGTACACTTAACTAATCTGCAAAAATTCCAGTTCTACTTATAACAACAGTAACAGAATCAAAGCTGTACGGATTAAAAGCAAATGCCACAGCAATATTCGTACAGAGACAAGTACTATCATAGCATTAAAAATAATATTAAAAATTGGCATGTATACAGAGTACCCAAGGAACTCGGGATGTTTTCCGGACAGTAATTCATCACATCTCACAATATCCCTGCAAAATATATAGCGTGCGTTCTTCAGACAGATAAATAGGAAGGCACATTTGAGCACAAAGACGTTAACAACTTGCCAAGAGTGTGCCGCAGATTGGCAGCCGAGCCGGGCTCCCCAGGAACCCCGGGCACGAGCCCTGCCTCCCGGCACGGCGGGCAGCCCGTGCCGCCCCAGCCCCCCCGGTACCGTGCTGGCACCAGCACCGCTCAGTCACTCCAACTGTGAGAAAACGCCACCTTCTCCGAAATAACAATGCTGAGAGGAAAATTATGACTTGGGAGATTTTTAAAAGGAAAAGGGAAGAAACCAGAGGGGAAAATATTTATTTTGCGATACAAGTGCCAGTCTCTGGCAAACACACGCGCCAACCCTCCCAAAAGCACGTCAGGCAAGCGATCGTGTAAGAGCACAACCCAAAGCAGTGCAGCACTGATCGAAAGCAGACAACCGGGAGGGAAGTAAGAGTAAGTCATTGTATCTGCTCTTCATTTTGTGTTTAGCAATAGAAAGAGAAAGTAAACACAAGCAAATATTTTGTCTTCACATACTAGATCACTGACCAACTCCTACAACTATTAAGAGATCTACATTCAGTGACCTTACGTCCTTTTAGAGAGTCTCAAAGCAATATCAGAAATTAAATACTGTCTTCTAGTTGGTCGTGTAGGAACTTTTTCAAAAGGATATATAAAAACACTACTGTGAACACCAGAAATATTACATGCGGAGAGGAGGAGTACACAAACTAGCCGTGCAACAAAGTAAGAGAAGTGCTTTTGATCTTTTCTATTCCCATTTTTCCTACATTCAACAAACTGGGTTAAATCAGCTTTGTAAACCCCAGGGAAAGTTTTCTCCAGCAGCAAGTTTCTCCCTACCAACACACACCCTCCACTGTGACTGCCTGTCCGGCGGAGGGCGGCCGGTGACCGAAAGCATTCACAACGCTTCACCTTGTGCGACGTGCCAGGTTACATTCAGGGTGGTTAGAGCACTTTGAAGCAACACAAACCTAAATATTCCTGGTAGGCAAACCGAGGAGAGGAACTGAATTATAATGAACCAGCAGCTGTCACAATATGACCACAGTAACCAAATCAAAATATCAACCACTAACCCAGATGAGATTCAAAGGTCACCACATAAGCCAGCAGCTTTCTTCAGCAGCGCCTGAAACCTCAATCTAATCCTTGCAGTGAAATGCTCCATTAAGCTACAGGGGGCTTAGGAGCAAGTTACTGTGCATTGGTAAATGATTTAATGTGCTAGCAAGATATCCCAAGTAGTAGGATAAGAAACGTTCCCAAAGAGCACAACTGGAAGCGGGAGAGGCGATGAGAAGCAACAGCCAATGCGTCATACCCATCCCAGCTATCTGCCCATGCACATTTCATTGCCGGGCCAAATAACTACTCTTCAGATACTCTTAAGAAAACACAAAATACCTAGCAGGGTGGTGGGACTCCAGACATGCACAAAGCAAGCTGTGTTTGAATACATGCGAGCAGCAGTTTGAGAAGCTGAGTAACGCATGCAGCTCTGCGACTTCTCTCTGCTCCTCCCCACAGGGCTGGCTCCAAAGCCTAACGCACAGGCTCCCTGCTAGATGCTGGACACGTAAAAATGTGTTTTAAAAACAAATATCTGAAAAATAAAATACAATATAAGCCCTCATTTAAGCACAGCCTGTCTGCAAACATTTGTGGTTCACAGGTATGGGGTCAGTAATACCTATTCCCAGTAACAACAAAGCCCTTCTTGCCTGGAAAACCACCTCAAATCAGGAGCAACTCCATTCGAGTCAACAGTATACACCGGTATAAAACCAGTTCAAGTTGTATGATCATCAGGCTCTTTATCAGTTGTCAAGAGAAAGAGGAGCATGGAAAGAAAGCTACAGTGTGGCTCTGCAGGTGCCAGCTGCGTAACACCAGAGTTTACGGGGACCTTTCCCTGGGGGAGTTCGAAGACCTGCCAGGAAAAGGGAAATGATAAAATACATCTGGAGTAACAGGAGTCGGGAGCTGGCAGTCCGGGCGGCCTCCGTCTGAGTAAACAGCACTGCGCATTGTTCATCACCACAATACTTAGATTTCTCCTAAAAATCACAAATACAGACGTGACCAGCGCAGACTGACAGCGGTCTTTGTTAGGGCGATGCTTCACACACGCAGTCCTCCACAGCAGCGGTGTTAGCAACCGCAGCGCCTGTCCCGCTGCCGGTTAAGGGCTTCCATTCCCACACGGCACAGAAACAGACCTCCCGGCCAAGGCCCTCAGACGTGTTTGAGCGGGAGGGAAGTGTGCACGCATCCCAGCAGCTATCCCTCCTCCTCCAGCACTAACACCCCGCGCCCAGGAGCGGAGCAAAACTGGGGAGTGAAGGGCTGCCCCAACAGGACAAGTTAAGAAGAGTACACTCTAATTATCAGAGAATTATGCTAAAGCACGGTTGCAAAATGCCGTGGGTTGTGGGAGGCAGCTGACGGCCCCGGCAGCACGCACGCGTTAGTGCGCAATAGCACACTTGTCAAAAGCCGTTAGTCACTTGCCATACGCTTGCACATGCATTAATCTGCGTGTGCAGGAACGTCACTGGTCTTATTTCCAGTTGAAGTTACCAAATCTCATAAAAACCAAAAAGTGTCAGGGCACTTCAGGACCACGCGCTGTGAGGACGCTGCCACGCTGCCTGGCTCACGCCCACGGCTGGAGCAGACACCTCCAGTTCAGGTCTGCAGAGCCACGACTGGGTTAGCAGTGGCTGTGCAAACCCCTCTGATGGTGACAAGCGGGACCTTCTAGAAACATCAGGGTTTCCAAAGTTCCTAATCAGTTTTACATGGCTTAATTCTTTAACCAGGTGCCTCTGAACATGCTTTTATAAAACAACTATTTCTTAAGCCAAGTGAAACCAGTATTTTCACTAAGATTGGCAAAAACAATCAGAAGCAGGAATGAGATTCTTCTGTACCCCTCTGATGGTGACAAGCGGGACCTTCTAGAAACATCAGGGTTTCCAAAGTTCCTAATCAGTTTTACATGGCTTAATTCTTTAACCAGGTGCCTCTGAACATGCTTTTATAAAACAACTATTTCTTAAGCCAAGTGAAACCAGTATTTTCACTAAGATTGGCAAAAACAATCAGAAGCAGGAATGAGATTCTTCTGTAACCCAAGGGCAGGCAGGAGAGAGAGAGAGAGACTAGTTCTAAAGACATGCTTTTATAAAACAACTATTTCTTAAGCCAAGTGAAACCAGTATTTTCACTAAGATTGGCAAAAACAATCAGAAGCAGGAATGAGATTCTTCTGTAACCCAAGGGCAGGCAGGAGAGAGAGAGAGAGACTTTTAAGTTCTAAAGACTCAAATTAAAGGTTAAACTTGAAAGCACCATGCAGCCCAGCGGGTTTCACAGAAGTGTGTGGCTACTTGCGAAGTGTCTCTGCGCACTACCTAAGCCCCATGGCTTGAGTTAAGAAGGGAGTGTTGAAATTTCCATGCTTTTTTTGGCTTATACTAGACCCTTTAAAACTGTTGTAACCATGTTTTGTACGTGAATACATCGAAATGACTACAAGCTCCAACATTGTCCCATATGTTAAACAACTCACATATTTCCCAATATTAAAAGACAAGGCATATTTTAGGGACTTATATTAGAGCTGAAGAATGATATATCGCAGTTACAGGTCCATGTTTTTTTTGGCTCGCATTCAATCCTTTAAAGCAAAGCATTTGGTTAGTTCATTGACAACTGCAGAAGAAGGGTGTGATCTTGGCCAAGCATAAGCATTACTAATATTTTTACATCATTTATTTACTTTAACCAAACTCATTTATCAACCATAATTAAAGAAAGTAGCTATCATTCACTTACAAATAATTATAGCCTCTCTGCATACTGCTACGGTGTTTGCTGCTAAGCTAAATGATTATTCAGGGGTGTCAAAACTTTCTATCATGGGGTGTGGGGTGGGAGGAGGGTCCTTGCCAAACGCCCCGGGCAAAATCTCACTCCTCTAAAGCAGAATAGGCTGCAACTACCCTCGCCTGAAATCCAGGAGTTTGCAGCTCACAGGTCCCAGCAGGCAGCGATCCATCATGCTCCAAAACAAACAATGGCTTCAGTGTCCCTCACCAGTTATTTATCTGTTCCCTTTTGTGAACATATATTTATCATATTTTCAGAAATGCTTTTCTACTTTAAAAGTCCTGTTCAGAGCACATCCTTATTTTCTCTGCCAACTGGTCACTTCTTTGAAAAGGAAAGGCTGAGCCTGAGGAAACAACCATTTCCCTCTTTCAGCAAATATTGCAGTTACTGCATCAAAAGTCATATCCCTCTCACAGCAAGAAAACACAGTCTGTTCAATAAACATCATCGGTGTACATTTTTGAAATTGCATGATAGCTTAAAAAATAAAAAAAAACCACCCATGTTCCCACCCGTATGCCAAGTACAATCAACCCCAAAAATGAGGATGAGGGATTTAAGCCCTCAGAATTTTATTTCTGGTTCGCTTATTCTACTTTCAACAACACGGTCAAGTTAGGAAATTTGATTTCTTACTTTGTATTCTGGAATTGACAAAGGGAGGAGAGAGATTGTCATGCGACCCAAGGTCTCTGCTCGCCATATGATCATAGTGAGTCCCATCTCCATAGTTCTGTTAACAAATCGGGAAAAAACACAATTTTACAAGTTTAAACGGCATTTTTCAAAACCTACACATCCATATTTCCCTTCTAAGTTTTAAGCCACCAGTAAGAAATATTGTTCCCTTTATTGTTTTCCCCTATTGATTCTGCTGGAAGTGATGTGTTCCAGAACATTTTTAAAGCTGTTTCAAATTTTTATTTCATTAGTAATTGACTTTGGTTTGCTGTGTGGATAATCCTGAATGGGTGACTGAGATGAGGTTCCTGGAATTTCGTGCTGTGCAATTCAGCATAAAGCCCCCTCTTTAGCATAGAAGTCATCTTGCCCATAACATATGCAAGAACAGCAAAGAAATAATTCTTAACATTTTGGTTTTTAAATCTATTTTTACATAGAAATTTGCCACCTTAATCACCTCACTGCTATATACATGCACTGGACTATAAAAATAAATTAGAGTTTTTTTCACAGTGGGTATGGAAAGTTACTTCTCACTGAAAAAATAACCCTGCATAGCACTCATCCTTTGTGCGTGCAGTTCTGTGCATGGCTAGCAAGCGGCAGAGACCCCCTCCTGCCCAGCACGCCGTGCTGCCCTGTTACCCCTCAGTACTCCTCTGGGGATCAACAGCATCAGACGCTACCCACAGAGTCAAGGACGTATAAAAACCTTGCCAGGATCGGGCCCCTAATTTTTGAAACAGTCTTGGTGTAACCTTCTGCTGTCGGTCACTCGATCAGCAAAATCCTAAATTTAACTACAGATATTGGCCAAGCGCAGCAGTTATGTAATGTTTTGTTTCCTCGGCTCAGAAGAACGCGCGAGAAACTAATTCTCCCAATGTGGAAATACCATCATCATTTTACAAAGAAGGAAAGAGAGAGAGAGGTCAGGCTGTCTGCAGAACAACACTGCAAGTTAATGCACAGTCTTGATTGAAACCCCAGAATTCTTCCCAGGCTCGTGCTCTTTTCTTTATATCTCAAAACTTAATTGTACACTCACATTCAAGTTTTTGCATGCATAAATAATTGTGTGTGCAAATTTAGAATTTACTTTTCAAAACATTTTTCCCTCGGAAGCAATACAAGTGTCAAGTAAAAAAAAGGGATAAAAATAAAACTGACAGATGTGAGCAGTAATGACGTAATGGATGCTAAGCAGGATGGAATAAGAAAAGGTGTTGGGCTTCCCTCCCTCGGTGGCAGGGCCGGGGTCCCCCCCGCCATGCCATAAATGGGGGACCCCCCTCGGCTGCCCACGGTGTGGTGCAGCGCTGCAGACGTCCACTTAAAACCTCAGCTGGCGTAAGGTCCGCCGAGGGCAGGACCTGCCCCAAGGGGAAAGGACAGACCGAGGATGAACAGGGCAACCGCATTTCTCCTTGCCAGACAGACACTCGAGGGCACGGAGCTCCCGGCAGCGCTGCTCGCGAGCCCTGATCCTTCACGTTAATTAGAAAACAATTAAAAAGCAATTTAAACAAACTGTTTAAATAAGGGCATAAGTAAGAGCGAAGCCACTTTTTGCCCAAGATAAGTGTACTTCATGCATTTGCAGGAAGTAAACAGAAATAATCATCTTGGTACTGAAGCACAAGCCGTGCCCAGCCCCGAGGACAGGCAAAGCCGCGATGCTCCGGCTGGGGCGCGGGGCGGCTCGCGAGGACCATCAGCAGGGCTGCCAGCACCGTGCTGCTCGGAAGCAGCAGCGGCTCGGGGCGAACCGCACAGCTGCTCTGCTGGAAATAGCACTTCTTCCCTACCAAAGTAACCGGCGTCCCGATCCTGAGGTGTCTAAAGAATTTGGATAATCGTCCACAGCCACGATCGAAATGACTGAGTCCAGCTGTCTTGCAAATCTCAGCAAATGCTGAGTATTGCCGTGCCAGATAGTGGCTCGGTGTCTGCGTTCCCCGCAGGGGGATCCCACTCTTACATGGGGAGCACAGGAGATGTCCGTGCCCCATCCTCAGCAGTGCCCGGAGCAGAGGTGGGCAGGTGGCTGGCAGCCAGGCTACCTGCCCCGGAGCTCGGATGGTGCCAGCAGTCAGGGGGACGTGCTGAAACACCCGGCTGCCAGCCCCTGCCCGAGGAGAAGGCTTTGGAACCCCCTCACCAGAGGCACGGAGCAGCTGAGGCGCACTGTGGGAAGGGCAGGGGCACAGCTGCAGGTGGGCAGCCCTGGCGTGGTGGGACAGACCTGGCGGCCCCTCTCCAGCTTCGCTGCCCTGAGCTCGGGCCCTGGGGTGGCCAGCAAGCCCCAGCACGGGGACGAGCGCTGCCCACGGCAGGGGCGCTGGCCCTCTCCTCAGGTTTGGCGACACCCGCAATCCCTAAAAATCCAACTGCAGAAAATGAAACATTCAGCAACAACATTTCTGCTCCACCTGCACTCTGGGTGGTAGTTGATAGGGCCTAGCAAGAAAAAAAAATGGTTAATTAATATTCTCGCTACCTGTTAGAAGTAGCAGAGCAGGTGCCAAATTCAATCATAGGATCAGGTTTGAATGTTAAAAAAAAGGGCAATTTTAAAGAGAAGACAGGCTACAGCCAACTTTGCATGCCCATTTTTCTATGCAATCAGGTGTAAAACTCATATTTAAGATTGTAAATTTACATATGCAGGAAGTCTGGTTTGGGGAAAAAGATTAGATATACTTACCCTGGATGGACTAGGATGTCCTGTATTCCCCCAGGACCCTGAGCTAGTTCTGTCTTCTACATCTAGGGACAAAAAAGTTCTTTAGGCTTTATTGCAATAATTCTTTCCTTTTGTATAGGCACTTTTAAATTAATGTTTCAAATTAATCTCCTGTTGCCTTTAATTAAGAATCAGGCACAGGGCTACTACGATGGTAGTGGCTTCTGACCCACTGCTTAAATTAACTCATTTAAATTCACAGCAGAAATGAACCGGACCCTCAGGAACCTGAGGTTTGAACATAAAAATTACTTCAGCGGCTCAGTGTTTCTCGACACTTTAAAAAGTGACTGCACTGTACCAGTTAAAATCCTATCAAAATCTCCAGCACAAAAACAGGTATTGTCAAACAGTAAAAAGAAAACATAAAACAGACAAAACCTAGAAGTTAAAGTAAGGCATGTTTGGGGTAAATGTACCTCTCGCCACCTCACCTAGGCTTCTACTGCAGAAAAGCATTTACGCAAGTATTTGTATCTCAAGAAGAGAAAAGCACATTCCTAAAGCCAAGCACAGAGGGGGTATTTCTGTCTTTTCCTCTATCGTTTGGCAGAAAATTCACTGTAACCATTGGGTGGGAGACACTCCAGTAGTTTCAGACAGCCCATTTCAGGGTGTTTTTAATCATTTTCCCCCTCCGTTTGAGAGGGTATCTCTAGGAATAACACATCCCATCGCACATGTGCTAGGACGTGGTGAACCCCGTGCCATTTAGGGTACAGACCAAAGAACCAGGACTCCTACAAGTTCCTCTTAACTTTGCGACAAAACACAGGAATGTCTCAGCCTGCCATTTTCTTGTGTGCATTTTATCTGTGCAGCGAAGGGACAGCTTGGTAGTCGCCCCAGGAAGGAGAGGTGAGCTTTGCTAGTCAGCCACTGCAGCGTGCTTCCAGATCACTGGATACAAGAGGCTAGCTAGACCGCAACACTACATCTTCCTTGACAAAAATCAGGTCGTAGACACGTTTTGCATATGAACGCTCTCCACGTTTCACAATTCCCAGTATTTCTTCTCTGACGCAACTATTTTTATTCCACTTTCCCCAAGTCTTTCCCAGTATTGTCCATTAACCCAGTTTATTGTTGTTAAAACTTCCTTGTAACACTGAATGTTCTTTCAAATGCGGAGCCTAAAAAAAAAAACCAACCCAAAAAAGACTCACACAGTAACTTCTTCCAAAGACACCCCAATGGCAGGGGGCTGTCCCTCTCGGGTACCCTAAGCAGTGACGTGCACCTCCGGGCTGGCCACGCTACTTCCAAGGTTGCGCCAAGCCCAGGAACTCAACTCCGCTGACACTGAAAGCAGAAGACCCTCTGCAGTGCACTCAAGTATGCTGGGATACACTTGCACAACCGCTGCCATCACAAAACCTTTACTAAAACGAGTTGGGAGTCTCCTGAGACTTTCCACTTGGCTAAAAACTTAATGGCTAAACATAACACCGGTTCAGCGAGGCACTTGCGCACAGGTTTAATGGAAGCCTGTGAATAATTCCACCGAAATCATAGTTCACTCCCCTGTTAATTCAAGTAAATGAGATCACTCGTGCTTAACATTAAGCACATCCTTTAGTACATCAATGGACTGGACCATACTGCTTAAATCCATTACTTTTTTACTTACAGTATGTTAAATATCAGGAAATGTGATTGACATTGATCTATAACAGTATTATTGCACATTTCAGTGCTATTTTCCAACTTACTCCTGTGTGCCCACTAGCATCCTAATGAAATAATAATATTGCTTGCCTTTTGCCATGCACAAACAGTAGCTTTAATCTAATTGGAAAAAAAATACGTATTTGGTCTTGCTGGCTAGAGAAACTTTCTCAGAGTGCTGCCAAAGACTAGGCACATGAGCAGCTCCATTTC